TTTTTTTCCCTCTGAATTCTTGTGCCTTTACTACGGTAGCTGTTTTGTGCAGTGGAGCTTTTCCTAGCAGCACTGGCTTTTCTTTTACAGTGACCTGGGCGAACATTTTCAGCGTTTTGCTTAACTCGAAATACCGCCTATCTCGAAATTTTCCCCGGATTTGATGGCTTCGAGTTAACGAGGGATTACTGTATACGTAAGGACTAAAGGTAACAGGAATGCAGCGGTGATGAAAAATAGGGCACTGTGGAATTACAATAGGTATGATGTTGTGAGAGGAATATGGAAAGGGGTCATGGTTCCGGGTCTGACGTTCGACAACGCGTTCTTGTGCATGAGATCAGAAGTTCAAGCAAGATTAGAAATTAAGCAGCGTGGAATAGGTAGGCTTGATTTAGGAGCTCACGGGAATACACCAAATCAGGGAGTACAAGTTGATATGGGATGTACATCATTTGAGGGCAGGGAAGCTAGCAGCAAGATAAAATTTGATAAGGGATTCAGTAACGTATGCTGTCGGGCTAGTTGGGATAAGAGATTGAGAGAAATAGGGGAGGAGCGTTGGGCTAGGAAGGTTTTCAGCTACTTGTACATGAAGAGACAGTAGGATTAGGTGTGTTGGTATAACATGATAAAAAGTGCTTACCAGCGCAAACGACAGGGCAGGAGGGGACAGGAGAAGAGACGAGATAGAGCGCTGAACTGCCAAGAATTTATTTCTTGCGAAGTTCTTCGCTTTTATACATTCACCAGTCGCAATAGTCATGCGCGACAGACAATTACAATGTATAAGTACATCACACCGACAAGCAAAGGAACAACTTTTTCTTATCGGTGAGCGCGACAGAAGGGGGGCTAACACAAGCATCTTTTAATGCGCAAATCTTTTCTGCCTCTATGATCTCGCGTGTGCTGCGATTCCTGCATATTGCAACAATAGTACACTCTGAAAATATTGGCCGGCAGCCACACGTGCTGCAGTGAACGGACAGCCAACCTTGTTTATAGTGATCCACATTGTACGTATTTTCCCTCAGCCTCTCATATATAAAACGACCTATGTGACCGACGTAATACCTTCCACATGATAACAGCAGCTGATACATCACAATACAGATGCAATCTCTAAATTTATTTGCGTGTTTTGTAGTGCAACCGAGGGTGCGTCTGGACAGAGGAATGGACAGCTTGCATAGGCGACTCAATTTTTGAGGGACCGTAAAGACCACCTTCACATTAACTCGCTGTGCCACTTTCTTAAGATTGTGCGCTATCTTTTGCATATATGGAACCACGGCAAAAGCCTGTCTAGCTGTGACAGGTGGGACTACGTTATCGTTCCCTTTGGCCTGAAGTTCACGCAGCAGGCCTTCGGCAACGGAAACTTGCACCTGGTCGGGGTAACCAGCCGACGTCAGCCTTGAAGATTGCTCAACAAAGCTTTCTGTAATCTTGTGCACACAGAATTTTCGCGAGGCATTCACGAAGCAAGATTTTGCGATACCTCGCCTAACTAATTTAGAATGTGCGGAATGAAACGGCGAAACAGGCTTATTTTTACGCGGTTGATACATCCAGCAAGTGCGTCCATTATTCAGGAATAGCTTAAAGTCAAAGAACCTGATTTCACAATTATCAGAAAGTTCATGAGTAAACTCAAAATGTTTGAAACCATTTCGCACCAGCTCTAAAACTGCAAGAACGTCAATCCGATATGATGCAACATCAGTGTCCATAAAAATAAAAAATCATCTACGTATCTGAAAACGTGCATCACATTAGTGTTAATGAAAACTTCCGAAATGGATCTGTCTAACTTGCCTAAAAACAGGTCACTTACGATGGGAACGATGCAAGAACCAATACAGATACCGAATTTTAGAAGGTGAGGTTTTCCATCTTATAGGATGTACGTCGACTGAAGGTAAAACCTTAGAAGCTCTAAAAACCCACTGATGCTGACGCCAGACTCAGTCTGGAATTTTGAGGCGCCAAACTCATCTATATATTCTCCAATGAATTGTAATAATGAGTCATGCGGAATAGAATAGTACAGGTCCTTGACGTCTACAGAGAAGGCGAATAGAGTCTTATTCCAACGCGATGAAATAAACTCCTGGACTTCACATGAACTTTTACCAAAAATGGATCATTCACTTCTAGGCATTTCAAGGTTTTCTGCAGGTAGAGCGCAAGACATTTTTGCCAGGTATTATTTTCAGATACAATTAGCCTAAACGGCATGTCGACCGTATGCGTTTTCGCGTTGAAGAAGGCTTCAAGGAAATCTTCCTTGGCATCTGACATGTTCTTATGGATAATTACATGGTTAAACTTGCGAAGCAGGCTCTTAGCTTTACTTTTGACCTTTTTCACCGACACTTCAACATGACAGTGGGACACCGTGCGAAACAGCGTGAAATCGTGCGACAAGCATGAAAGCTTGTCGCACGGTTTCGGCTCTTTGATCACATGTTCCGACGCCCTGTGGCAATGTACGCCTGTACCACGCAATGTTATTTCAATATTACATGTTGTATTGTAAAGCTTGTACACAAGACGCGTGTGTTTATAAAGCATGAATGTTATTTTCACTGCATTTGCAAGCAGATTAAGTAATTTTATTTGCATTTTAGAGCAGACGCATATTGCTGTGGAGTAGACCACCTGCTTGCCAAGCAAACGGCCTGGGTTCCAACCTGACTCGAACCTGGGAGTTTTTAATATCTATTTTATTTACATCTTTATGAATTTTTGGTCACACACAAGATGGCAATTTTTCGCTCACTCACAACGATTGCAATGACACGCCTACATCACCGCAGACACTGGAATTTCCGCAGAACAAGCTGTTTAATGCTCTCACTTGAAGTGTCAGTTGACAGGACAAAGCCCGCTTATGTGCAGACTTCTGCAAATGGTACGATCATTCCTGTTTCTACTATTCACGAAGCCATATACAACAAAGAAAGAGCGTGCACACTGGTCTGATCAAGACTTCGTCTATATGGGGAGGGGGGCTGCCGCGCACTGGTGTTCCGAGGCAGCGAAGGCATGAGCAGGTTGAGCGCTTGGCCATCAAAATAAAGCGGTTGGTTTTTCGAACTCAAAGTAGCAGCGTCTTTTTTCTTCTACCTTTCGCTACAAACCCTTAAGCTGTATGACAGACTCGTACGTACTCTCAACAGCTCAAGCAAGCACACCTCTTTTTCTGTGTACTTACTAAAAGCGGTGTGCCCACAAAGTCATGGCGCCACACTCACATTGGACGAAGCTTTGAACAGCTTAAGCATCAACACCGTCAATTATCATCATTGTAAACAGTAGAGAATTCTTCGCTTATACCTATACCACAGTGCCTCGAATACATTTTTTTTTCCTCTCAGCGTGGTTCTTAGAACCACCCCCTTCGTTTATAGCTTAGAACTCCTTCGTGTCAGACTCAAAGGAAATCAGCGATGATGCTTGTAATGACCCTCTGCCTGGTGGTAAATTTTGGAGCTGTGAAAATTGCCGCTCATTTTTGTCTGTTTGAAGAGGCATTTTGCTAAGAGTTGCAATTGGTGATGAGGCACTGCATTTGCAGCCCGCCCTCTGGTGGCGAAGACGATCCAGAGGTGGACACTGATCGTGAAGACTTCGAGACGCTGGCATCACTGCAGAGCAGCATAACCATGGCCAGGGCACTTTTTCACAAGTGGGTCACAGTTCCTTTGCAGGACCAGTGTTTCTGGACTATGTGCCTACGTTCCACCAGGATGTATACTGTACATCCTGGTAGAATGCCATCCACCAGTGTACATTTTGGTGGCACAAAGTCTGCCTCTTATATTAAACTAATGGGAAGAAGGGGTGCTGCAACGAACCACCCTGAACCATACGTATGTTTATAGTGATCGGGATGAACGCTGCAGTCAGACTTTGCTCTCCCTACTGGAGAACCTTGTGCACGCCTATGTTGAAAACCATGACTTAAGTAGCACATCAAGAGCAAAATTAAGAGTTGTGTCGCATTATGTAAAGCATCACTTCACAAATATGGCTGACAGTTGTGCAACTAAATTGCAGGCGGTGCAAAAAATTCAAGGATGCTGTAGAGTCTTTTGAGCAACATCCAGCAGATCAACTGCGCGAAGTCGGTGATACCTCTCAACATGATGCACACACACAGACGGTATCATCACCACCTGCGACAGCTGAAGATGGGCTCGAACACTTTGGCCTCTTTGTCGCCCAGAGACTGCGCATGGTGGATGCAACAGTGCAAGCGCGTCTCATGTCATCCATTTTAAATCTAGTTGTTCCAGTGCCATGTGGCCTTTCAGAATGATTTTGAAGCAAAGCTCCAAATGTTGCTTTTCCAAATGCTCCTAAACAAAGTGTGCATGGACGGAGTGTTTGTCACATGTAGCGTTCCTGTAATTAAAAAAAAATCTGGCACATTTCACCCATAATGGGAATAGATTTCATATGAAGCTCTGGGAGGGGTAAAATATGTCATATTTCTTGCTTTGAGCCAAGAATAATTAGCTGGAGCGATGCAAATTTAGTAGTTGCATGCATATCGAGTCACTGTCGGATATGTTGAATACAGTGGTGTGTATCGCTCATGGTCTGACACAATGCCATGACTCGTATTATAGCAGACTGCAAGGAAGTGTGCGCTACAGTGCGATAGTGTGCACATAATAAGTGGCAGTTGCTAATGTGGCCATGTTTGACTGCAGCTTGTGGAGTCGTGATTATGCATTAGAATGTTTATGATTTTATAAAAAATTAATAGCCAGGACTGCAACCACAGTTGTCATTGTCGCAATAACATGCTTGTATAGCGTCATTTTCTGAAATGGTTTAATGCACTGTGGCTCGGTTTTAGAATATCTGACAGCCACGCAGAATATCTGGGTTAAATTCCAACTCAAGTTGTGATTTTCATTATTTGCTCATCAGAATTTTTCACGCATGCACTGACAAAAGTGCCGAACCTCACAATGGATCTCTTGCGATGCAGACTCATTAATGATATTACAAGAAGATAAATTTCAATGTGTATTCTTGCTGTCGCTGGGTTCATATAAAGTGTGAGTGCAGTGCAATACTCTGCGCAAAATATGCAGGTACATGCTACAGGCAAGTAACATTCTGCAGAAGGGCTTGTTCTTACATGGCCAGTTGGTGCATTGCTAATAATCATAATGCAGTGCCAAAAGACACAACGGACGCAAAGAACCACACACCACTGGCGCTACTAATGACTATTGGATAACTGATGACGCAGAATAAATATATACATATGCTATTACAAATGTATGCAGGCGCGAAGGTGACATCCGGCTGACTACACCAAGGAGGTGCTAGGCAGATTACACGTCAACAGTACAACGTCCCAACACTGACTGAGACAGAAGATTTTATTTTTCTTCTTTCTCTTTCCACTGTTACCCGCCAAAGCAGTTCTTTATTGTCTTTTGGTCGCTACACAAACAGTGCAACCAAATACTGTAAAACGATTGATTGATTGGTTTAACGTTCCAAAACCACCATATGATTATGAGAGACACCGTAGTGAAGGGCTCCGGAAATTTCGACCACCTGGGGTTCTTTAACGTGCACCCAAACCTGAGCACACGGACCTACAACATTTCCGCCTCCATCGGAAATGCAGCCGCCACAGCAGGGATTCGAACCCACGACTTGCGGGTCAGCAGCCGAGTACCTTAGCCACTAGACCACCGCGGCGGGGTACTGTAAAACAATTAAGACAACAGATGTCTGACTAACACAATCACTGCCATATTCTTTATTTAAAAATGCTTCTAAATGTTCTCATGTCGTTCTATCCAGAATCTTGACATTGTGGAGCACATACGCACAAACCGCAGAAAGATGCACATTCATGTCCACGTTGAAATTAATAGCATGCTCCCTCATTCTGTTATTAAAGCAGTAAACAGTTTGCCAGGCATGGCATTTGACACAAGACACGGATTTCATACACCAAGTGATGTGAGCATAACAAAATCGACATGATAGAGATGTCCATATGACACCCCCTGACTGCATTTCGGATATCCACTGCATGCATTTGCAAAACAACTCTGGCAAACATCCCTCACAGGTCCATTTGGCTGCACTTACGTGAACCCGGATTATTCCTTGCAAGTCCCAAACAAGTCCTGATGGGCACATGGTGCACATGACAAGGAGATTAATGGATGTCTTTTATACATGGCGCTTTCTAAAAGCAGTCCTCAATAGTCTACTTGAATGCAAACGTTCAACAGAAGTCTGTCTGGTTGGGTATGAAACTGGGAGATGATTTAGACTCCAACCAAAAGTTTTAAAGGAACCCAACGTTTTGAAACCGACTTCGTTCCTTCTTCAGGGGTGACTGCGGGGAGCAGCGGCGTCTTCGAAGCACTCGCGGGGCGGATAATGACTCCCTTCTTTCTCTCTTGTCTTGCAGTGGAGCGCAGTCCATGTGTATAAGAAGAGGCCCGCATATTGCAGACCTCAGAAAAAAACGGATACCCAAAAACTTTATTCGAGCCGCCACCCGCCGCACCGAGCAACAGAGGATACAAAAACCCCAATCAACCTTTATTGGTAGCCCCCCGAAACGCGTACAAGTCCCATGCGTTCAGGGAACCAGCGAGATGTTGGCGCGGATCTTCAAGAAAGGGGTTCGCATCGCGCACGTGCCTTCGTGTACGCTGGGCCGCCTCCTCCCCCGCCCGAAAGACAGGCCAACACAGAACCCCCGGTCTTGTTTACGAAATTCCTTGCGCTGAGTGCCCCTATTCTTATATCGGCAATACGAAAAACCTACCGGAACGACTGAAGCAACACGCCAACGATGTGCGGAAGCTCTACAAAGAGCGCAGCGCAGTCGCCGAACATATGAGACGTTGGATCACCGGATAAATTTTGAAGCGACGGTCATCCTTGGCCGTCGCTTCAAAAGGTTATTACTCGAGTCGTGGCACATACAGAGGACAGCCCATAACATCAACCGCTCTCTCGGAACCCTTCCCCCAGTTTTACACATGAACTCCACTCCACGGCAAAACGAGAGAGAGAGAGAGAGGTCATTATCCACCCCGCGAGTGCTTTGAAGACGCCGCTGCTACGTAGTCCCCGCAGTTACCTCTGAGGAAGATTTCGCTCGGAGGATTTCAAGCTGGACGGTTGTGCCCTCGCGATCTCCGACTTCAGCGTAGCTCCCGCCGACTGGTTCGCCCTCCGCGGTCTCCTGATGCCGTGCAGCTCTCGCATTGTGGCACCCCGCCCTTGGACTGCTTCGACCGGATCCCCACTTCCTATCTCCTCTTTTTTCCTCTCGTTGGCTGGCGGCTTCTTCTCCGTCTATTTTCCTTCTATTCTTTTATCCCTCCTTCCTTCTCCCTATATCTTTTATTCCCCATATCCCATTCCTCTGCTGACCTGTTGAGGTGTCCTCGTAAGGAGAGACAGTTACGGGTCGGCACCTTCCTTTCTTTTCTTCTGATATAACCACTTATATTTCTAGGCGCCCCCCCCCCCCCCTTCCTTTGCTCGCTCTCTCCTTTCTCTTTCCTCTCTTCGCTCAAGTCTATTATCCCCCATTCCCCTTCCCATGTGAACCACTGCTGAGGTGTCGCACTTAGCTGCAGACAGTTGCGGGGTTCACTTTTCTTTTCTTTTCCAATTTTAAGAACCACTTCCCCCCCTCTGAGGAAGAAACTAAGTCGGTTTCGAAACGTCGGCTTTCTCCAAAACATTTGGTTGGAGTCTAAATCATCTCCCAGTCTTCAATAGTGTTTTTTTGCCCCCCGAAGTTATAATTTTAGAAGGTCTAACCATAAGTTTTGCTGTACTTTCAGATGTTAATTTAATTAGTTCTTCGGAACATGCTCTGAAACTGCTAAAATTAAAAGCGCTCACAAATTTTCGTACCGAAGTGCGTTTTTGACCAGACCTAATCAAATCAACACATGAAAACATAAAAAAACTTATGCTTGGTTTGAACTTCTGAAATTGCAACATTTAATTTAGTAAAACTTGATAGACGGCCACATATAATGATAAACAAGGGTGTCTACCAACCTGGAAAACCTGGAAAAGTCGGGAAGTTTAAACTTTTCTGAAATAGTCAGGCAATTTCTGAAAAATATGGTGGGGTCTTGGAAACTGGCGGCAGTAGGTGATATCGTCACAAAAATAAACATTACCATTGATCAAAGTTTAAAAAGTCACTCCTTTGGCCTCAACTACAGTGAACAGCAAGAAAATAAATGAAAAAAATAAAAAGCACTGCATAACCGTTGCTTATTAGTGTAGACGCAAAACGATCCACCTACCAAAGGAATATAAAGCTTACTGATGTTTCGGCAGCAGCTATGGGAGCCTTGTTCACAATAATAGCCATAGAAAAGGCACCTGGTACTTGAGTACCCCTAAGTACGTGAACCAAGCACTGCGACTATATTGTCCGAAGTATTCCATCACTCCTGCTCAGCGTGAGTGTGGTTGCCTCTATGTGCTGGTATTCCAGGTGCAGGCACATACAAGCTTTTCTTTGGCCAGACCACGTGCCTACCAGTCAGATTGGTGGCCTGTGGATGTCATGTGTTAAGCGAAGGAATATGAGGTCATGCGTTGTTTCCTGATGTCATACTGGTGTTATTTAAATCTTTTTTTAAATGAGTCGTCTCACTGAGTGGTTGTCAAAATAGTGGCAGCCTAAAGCGTAAAAAAGATGAAGGAAAGTTTCGTTCGGCAACTCGTCCTTCTCGTTGTTTAAAGCCTTCCTTAGATTCCATGTTGGTAATTCACTATTTCAATGTCTGTAGCGCTCGCCCCACCGAGGTGATCCCAAGGTACTCAGCTGCTGACCTGCAGGTCACGGGATCGAAACCTGCTGCGGAAGCTGTATTTTCGATGGAGGTGAATATGCTGTAAGCCTGTGTGCTCAGACTTGGTTTCATATTAAAGAACCCCGAATGGCCGAAATTTCCGGAGCCCTCGCCTACGACGTCTCATAGTCATAATGTGGTTTTGGGACGTTAAACCCCACATATCAATCAATCAATCGATGTCTGTAGCTTCGACATATCACACAGCATATCTGACTTTCCAGCCACAACATAAAACATGTCGGTAAACTTGTGCATGTTTGTCTTAAGTTCTTAACCATCATTTCGGCTCGGCTTGAAGGCTTTCTGGTTGGGATAGAACTGCCATTAGCAAAGGCTTGCAGGGCTAGTGCTTTTTATTATTATTATCACTATCGATATTATTATTATTCGCGATGCAACAGAAGACGTCCTCAGCTACGCATTTATTGCTGGCAGCTCGCGTTTCAAGGGTAGGGTTGGGTAACTTTATCTAAATTTCTCGTTTCAGTTTCTTGAGATTATATTATTAAATTTATGATTAGTTCTTAGCGCTGTGTCCATAGAAGAGCGAAAGCGACCCGCCTGAATATGTGATGAATCTGTAGAACAAGAAGGAATCTGTCTGCAGGCAGATTCCTTCTTGTGGGCACATATTCCAATGTCATCGCTTTAAAACTCTACCTCAAGCTCTCATTGCAGACATCTGAGGACTTTGTCGAACTCTAAGCGTCAGAGCCCAAAGAAATAAAGCATCAACATACATGCGCTCATCGTAGAAAAAAGAAAGAAAGAGGAAAGAAAATTATGCGGTACGGCTCTATTCTTGCGACGTTGCTAGTTGTTGTCAACGCATGGTGCACAGAATACACGAGTAGTACATATAGTTGCTATTTTTTTTACTAATAAGTATACATTAGGTGTACAATTTAGGTGGGGATGCAAATCAACAGTAAATGCTGAAATCCAAGTCGCATCATATCCAGTCCAATCAACATTCTAAATAGGTCCGTTCGATTCGCCTGCACCACGTGAACCAGTTCACGAGGTGCTGCACCTTGCCATTCGTTTCAGCGGTGCAGCAATGACGACCGCTGAACCCTGCCATTCGTTTCGAAAGGTGCAGGATAGGTGCAGCACCGGTTCATGATTTTCCTGCACCTCCTTCGCTGA